AGATACAGTTCAGTAACTTCAGTTTAGACTTGGCATTTTAAAGTTTTATATTTCGAACATTTCAATGCAAAACCTTGTATTCTTCCCCACCAGTCCCAAACAGTCAAACAGTTTATGGAAATATATTGGATGTTTTCAGTGGAAAATGTACTACATTCTTTTTTTTTTTTGGCACACTAATACACAGTGCAATTTAATTCAATATAGTTTAAAAGGTGAAGGAAACTACGACATTGGCAATGGAAAATATTTTCATAATAGGTTCATTCGACGTACAGTTTGTGGTGGATAGTGAAGCGTATTTATAACTAAATGGTCCTGAGGGCCGTTTATAAGAAAAAATGTTCACTGCACCTAATATAAAACTCGTCTTATATAACTAAATGAGTTATCGACAATTTGTAATAATTGTTATCATATAGATCTAAATAATGTATTATAGTGTGCCTAATACGTTTCTTTGTACCAAAAGGTTTAAAAATTTATTTGATCTTTAAAAAGATGTTGTCAGTTCTGAATCTTAAAATAACGTACATTGTTTTAAATATACAGATACATACAAATTTATTGAATAAATACGTTTTATTTACACAACAATTTTTTCAAACCTATCACTCGTACATATAAAGACGATAATCATAACTATACCTACATAACTATTATGTATTATCATTTATCTGTGTAACTTGAAATATTATGAATTTAATTTATTTTTTAGAATTGATTGCTAATAATTAATAAGTAATAACCTATATTTCGATGGATATACTGAGAATTAAATATTTGGTTTATCTTCTATAATAGTATGTAACTCTTTTTTGTGGTTTATCATAAAATAATTTGAGTATAACGAGAAGTTGAATGATTTATTTTATAGCCTTAGATATATGTATTATGTATATAGCATTGAAAATGGTTGTAAAACATGCGCATCGTATTGTATTTTAAAATTAAGTAATGCGTTTGAATACAGAATGACCCATAAATTAATTCGAACTTAAAATGATTGTTTATATAGCATAGCGCGATTTGGCTCATTTATTTTTATTTCATATAGGTACAGACTCAATGCAAATTTAAAATAAGGCATGAGAAGAAATTATTTTTCCTTTAATAGAGGATGCATTGTACAATATTACATTATAAAAATACTCTTAACTCTATTAATAATTATTAAAATATCGTAAAAACAAACTTAAAAACACGGATAATGGTCTTACCTTTAAATTGCATAATATGTCAATTCACCCTATATAGTATTAAAGCTATATAATCGGTTCTGTCGAACACAATTATTTTGGTGTGCCGTATGCTGTATGTTAGATGGACTATAATGGATACAGCACATTCAAGCGTGTTGTCCCCTTAAGATTTAAGTAAAAGTAGTTGAGGTACGAAAGAGAAACATATAGTTATTTATTATTTTACTTGAAACGTAATGTTTTTCTAATTAAATATAAGAACTTTTTTATCTACTCTAAAAACTATTTTAATGTATTATAATTTAGTATCGTAACATATGTTTCCTTCGAAGTAAACATTTTGTTTCTAGTTAAATAGAATGAATTTTATTGATGCTCTTAATTTCCTTATCGCTTTTTTGTAAAATACTTAACAAACTCTAGGGACATTAAGATACCTGAGCTGTTCTCTAAAAACCTTTTTTCTACTCATGCGATTCTTTATAGTATGGAACTTAACACAACATATCACTTTTCTTATACACAAAATAGCTGTCGGTGCCTCGGTGGGATTCTCTACGTTTTCTACTCAACGAAACATAAAAGACCTAAGACCTCGTATAATACCTATCTAATTATATAAATGTATATTGTGAACGAGGACGAGTTTAACAAATGTTGAAGCACATGTGTGTGTGTGTGTGTGTGTGTGTGTGTGTGTGTATGCACGCTATCAGCATAATATGTGTAAAATATGTGCGTGGTGCTTTTAAAAATATAATTTTAATGATATAATAATATAATCACCATATTATAGTTTGTTCAGCCTGAAAAATGAAGCATACTTTAGAATCATTAGTCATAATTATTATTTCTGATCGGATTTCAACGGATTACCCTCACGTAGAACGTGATAATACGATATACCTGTTATTCGTTTGAATTTTCGAATGCTTCCATTTACACACGCACACTGCGACATATTATACTATATATATGCTATTATATACTTATACGATGTGTACGTAACTCTATTGTAGTGCGGAATCCGCATCGTCGGGAAAACGTCGTTTAAAGTCGTCGTGAGCTGAAATTTTTCAAATAAGGGGAGAACATAACATTATTATTATTATTATTATTATAAATGGACGCGGTCTTAACGTATCAACTCATCGGCCGGTATTGTGTGAAAATGAAAAACGCACCGCGTTATACACGCACACACGTTTAAGTCGAGTTATTAGTCAACGGTATAATATTATGTACCCATCATCGTGTTCTTATATATTATATTACGTGCTTTGATATAATAATATATTATATAAATCCGTTGGTTCACGGAGAAGCGATTCCGCCCAGTTCTCTGCAAACGCATCTTGGGATAAAGGTCATAAAACGATATGAACGCAGGTACAATACGAGTATACAATGCGTCCGGCAATTTCACTTTTTAGACGCCTCTACGTATAGTATTTTCTATTATTTTCTTGAAAGCCCGTGTAATTCGGTCGTAATCGTAAAATACTCGCACAGGGTGATATCTAAAAAAGAAAAAAAAAAAACTAAATAAACACGAGTTTTTGTTCACGGTGACGGGGACACACACATAAAGTTTGTTTTTGGATATAAAAAAGTAAGCTGCAATGCGTATCTATATAATATAATAATATGTGTGTGTGTGTGTGTGTGGTTTCATCACGGTTAGTGGTCGGTGTGCGGCGGTGCCGGTTTCTATCTATATAATATAATAGCTGGTGTCAATTTGAGTAAAATTCCTGAATCCCACTCGAGATCGGAACAATACTTTGGGGTTCAGATAAGGATAAGTGTTTTATTATTTTCCCTTTAAATTCAAATTTGTGTTAATGAGCTTGGGAGTCACATATAAATATGTTCTCGTACACACACACATATAAACATATTTTATATATTATATATACATACTGACGAACCGGTTGCCGCACAGGAACCTTATGGTACTATTTTTCTGACCGGCAACTATATTATACTTAATAATATTATATGCATTTAATATTCTAATCGATTTCGAACATAGGCGCCTCCTTTTTACCGACAGTTATTATTCTTTTGACTCGGATGCTTTAAATGCAACCGCCAACCGCTCCCTTCTATAATAAACGTTTTCGGTTACATCAATGATAATAATAATAATAATAATATTATTATAATATTTTTTTTATATGGATCGTCATTACAAACTTATATAAGTAATAACAATAATAATAATAGTAACTATTCGACTCGTTAGCCTTAACACGGCCTCCTCTCTATAATGGACTCATTTACGTAGTGAAATATGTCTATGAGATTCCCGTTACAAGACAGTCAGAAAACGATTTTGCTATATAATATGAATATCCGGTTTTAACAACTTCAATATTATATAAAACTATCGAAGGGACTCATTTGGTCATTAAATATTATATAATATGAAGGCTTACGATAATCTCAATTATTATGTATTTATTTTAATTTTTTTTTCACACAACAGACAAAGTCGAATGGCAAAACACGTGAAAGATGTTTTCGTGTTTTATACAAAACGATGTTATGGGTACATTTATTGTTAAATTTTATTACGTTAAAATAATATATTAACTATGATCTTGAGTTAGTTCGCGTTAAGCTGCCACGAGTTCCTACACACATATTACCTATAAATAGTGGAGCTTAAAATATGTCTACCATAAAGACATAATATTATTATATATTTTTATATTTTTACTAAAATATTTATACATATAATGGTAGAGTTTAGCATTACAATATACGATATTATAGCTAACGGAATGGCATAAACGTCACGGGTTGAATATATAACTTATTACAGCAGTTATATGTGTATTTTATTATACTCTTGACGACAAAAAATTATGTATTTTCAGAATAATAGACCCTCAATTTATCAGAGGAATAGTATTTATTATTTAGAAAATACTAATTATTCGAGATTATAACCTGTCCTATTCATTATGTTATGGAAAAATATTCCAACTAAATAATTTGAGCCAATCACAATTACGGGAAATTGGGAATATTATATTTAAACCTGCAATCGGCTTGTATTTTATTTACTGTGGACACTATAATTTTATTATACGGCGTTACCATGATGTTGATCACTACGAAGATGCGAACACAATGTAAAAAACTGCTTGCACTACTTTACCATAATATTGTTATTGTGTAGGTACAATTACAATAGGTACCTACCTACTCGTATATACCTATAAATGTCTATTTATCGTAATTCGGCTCTATTAAAAACGATAGTAGAAAAAAAATCACCGTGTAACTACATAGTTATTATGATCGATCAATGCCTTTAATTAGACAGATGTAATTCGTGATTAAGTAGGTACGTGATGTAGGTATATTAGAATTTTGATAACATTTATATGTTATGCCAGATCGTCGGAAAAATAATATATTTATATATTTTGGCGCCACATTATCACAGTATATACGGTTGTCATTATACAACGCATTTAATAATATGTATGCCTACCTACTTATATCGTACCTCACTATTTAATCGTCATACCGTATAATCGCTACAATAATTTGTATAATGTAATATGATCGTTGTGCCGAAATTTTTGACTAAACAATGGAACGTGTCACACGTATATAAAAAAGTATATTGGCGCCAGGCGCCTAGGTGGTGTACATTCACTATATATACTACAATATAATACATTTTATTTACCACAAATTATACACTTGAATACGTGCACAATATATATATATATATATATTTATGAATTTACCAAACATTTAAAATTTTTTTTTTTTCAGTTATCCTGCAAAGAACTTCGGTGAACATGGGACAGCTAAACATCCAAGGCGTAGCGACGTGCATGTACTTGTGCATGGACGCATGCGGCTTACTTTATGGCTCGGTAAGGCAATCACGCATAATGTATACTCACAAATTACAATCTACACATTATTATTATTATTATATATTTACATTATAATATTATGATAGCATTTTTCGTATAATACCTATATGATAATATCAAAACGCGGCCTCGACTTATGAGTAGTGACGCAATCGCGTATTATAATATACAATATAATATTATAGAAACTTAAATCTTTAAAAACAAAAAAGATGATCGCGGCTCGTAATAATGCGCTTGTTTATCGAACTATCGTTTTTCCATTGTAATTAAATAACCATGATAAAGCGATATAACATTATATAGGTAACGGCTAGTTTAATAGGTATCACAAAGCCGTGGTAGAACGCGATCGCGCGTGTGCGTGTTTTCTATACATCTTATCGTCAGGCAGCTTTACTTGTGACAATTATGTACTCTGTTATAGTCGCATCACTGCCTGCAGCGGTGATTTTTTTCCCATACAAAACACCATGTTTTTATAGTCATGAGTACACATTGTAAATACAACGTATATTATATCGTAGGTATCCTCGGGGGCGTATTTTCAGTTTTTTTTCGGCTGTGCGAGGTTTCAAGCAGGCCATTTTGAAATTTCACCAGGCCATATGAATATAGACATACCGCGGCTATGGTCATTATCCTGCTTTTAATTTGTTCTATAGATCATGGACCTTATCAATACTTAATATAAATGGTAAAAAGCAATATTTAAAAACAAAACGATAGTAAATAATTGATTACTTACTTTGTCTGTGAAAACTGAAAACCAATAAGTAATATGCATAAAATGCATGCAATTCTCGAAGAAAACAAATGCAGAAAAAAAAATTAAAGCCCACAATATAATAATTACTTTTATTGATTGTCATTTATATTTTATACTTATACAACATTCTCTAAAAAAATAATATTTATATTTAAGAAAAATTTATTAGGTAATTTTAATAATATAATAATACATTTTAACCATCGTTAGATTTTAAATTTATCAGTTCACTACTGTTGTCACTTATCAGTTGCCTATAAACTACCGTCAACTGTACGGAGTAAAAAACAGTTGTAAGCCATGTACTAAGATTCAATCACAAATGTCTATAGTATATAATCAATATAAAAATTTAACCTGATGTTCAGTGTGATAACTGATAACCAACGATTGTAGATTATCTCTTATAGTTATAGAATATATATACTACGCATATGCCTACTACAGCTGTTATGTTTATTGTTTTTTCAATTAATTGATAGCACAATATTTTTTTATATTCAATTTCCACTGTTAATATAAAAATAAAATTTTAATTTAATCCATATATATAATGGTGAATTATTTCAGCAGGCAAATTATTATGACAATTTCAAAAGTAAGGGGTACAGAATATAAACACACCCCTAGCTGACACCCTCCTCCCTCCCCAAATGAAGCCCCTGATCGTCTACTTAGTCTTCGTTCAATGTTCCTGTGACGTTTTATCTGTATAATATTTCGTATTTTGCGGGATATAGTCTTGACATAATATATTGTGTGCAGGTTATGTAGTGTCGATTTCTCGTGTAATGAATAATAATATGTGAGTTTTAAAGCCTCAGAGGTGTTTAAAACTTTACACGACATTGTATTTCAGAGCCGATCGGTTTTAAGGATTTTTTTCATTTTGATTGTGATCTCGCTTCTATTTGGTCTTGCGTAAACAAAATATAGGTACCTACCTATATTATATAAGCTTTGCAGGGTATTCATATAATATATTATAGTATGTTACACACAATATAACATATTATATACGATAATATCGATACTTTCGTGTGGGTCTTTACACGCACAGAAAAATATACGTTAATAAAATATATAATAAAATACAGCGATCCGTAACTAGGACGAGGTCCGTTTTTAATGTGCTATGTTTAGCAGAAATATGCACGTGTATATGACAGCGATTTAACCTACACAGTACACAAAACCCATGTATTTTGTATCTGGTTTATCTTAGTGAACAGTTGTAGGACTTCGTTCCGAATGAAAATCATTATAAATCAAACACAAGAAACATAACGTGTCCAAAATTGTATAATTTGCATTCTGGTTAGGTATAATATCGGGATGCACGTCTTGTAAAAAATAAAATTATATATTTATATTTGACAGCACGCAACTGGCGTATGTATAGAATGTAGTATTTTGACAGATTAAACGTTCCGGATTTTTTTTTATATATACTTTCTTAATATTTTCATAAAGTTTGAAAGAATTAGTTATACATATATTTTTTTTAATTCATTCAATTTTAACGCCTACATACCATTTTGAGATTCGATCGGTGTATATATTATAATTTACAACACATAATATGTTGTCCAATGTCCATACGACGTAGACCAAAAATATCAGAATGTGCCACGAGCTATTAAAGTTATTAAAAATTATAAACATTTTAATTTGTGAACGCGAATCAATATATGATATATATATATATTATTATCATCGTGCCGAGTGTCGAACATAATATACTATATGTGTATACCGTTTATGGGTAGTGTAAATGAACGTCAGTCGTTGTGTTTAAATTTTAAATTGATTGGAATCTTTTTAGTTGAATGAAAAAAATTGCAATTTTTTAACTGCAAATCAATAATAATTGTTAAGTATCCCGACTACTCGATGTCTGTAATTTTAGTTTAATTTAATTTAAATATTTCAATGAACTACCAGACTGGTTTATCGATCATAATATACAGAGTGCGGAGGACAAATTATAATATTTACCTGTTGGAATTTACAGTGCGTGGAGATGTATAATAGTATAATATATATATACTGGCGTTAATAAAATTACGGTGAAAATACTCGGGCATTTATTTAATGGGATATGTACGATTTATAATTTGTTCGTATAATTCGAAATTAATATAAGTATAATGTATTATGGCACAAAATAATCGTTTTGGAAATATGAAAATGTATAATTTACGCATAGAATAAACCGTGTATACTGTATACGAGTAGTAGGTATATAGTCTGTACCACGCTGTAATAGCAGAATATTTGATAAATATTTATCATGCGTGTTACCTGCATTATTTTCAAACACAGTTCGGTAAATTATTGTTATTATTTGTTCATAATTATTGGTTATTATAGTTATTACACGTTATAATTTTATCGTCTAATAATTGCGTCGAAATCGCGGCGGTACGTACATATAACAATCGTAAGAAGTAGGTAGGTACGTATCGCAATCGATACACCATGGCTATTATATCGATATTATTTGCTAATCATAATTATCGTTTTGGGAGTGGGACATTTTCTCTGTTGGTTTCCAATTCAAGAGATTAATCGATTATTCGATCAATCATTTAAAAGGATTTGGATTTTCTTTTACTTTCTAATGACGTATTTATGTTAGTATATGAACCTAGCTATAGGCTAACCTACGATTGTGTGTAGGTACGAAAACATCGGTATTAGCTGTAGGTACTATACGTAAATATCAATTGCTGTTCTATACAATATCATAATTTGTTCCCTGCGTTATATTACAATATTACGAGCTATTCAAGATTATATCATACAACTAACTATAATTTTTCAAAGACAAACAATTTTCTGATGCTATACATTCAAAGAAAAACAAATAACAAAAAAACCTCCACGACATTACTCGCGTGTCTCACCTGTCCGCCTTAAAATAATCATAAAAAAAAAAAATTGTTAATTTTTTAATTATTTTTAACTCGTCCGTCACACTGTACACGCATAATATACTTTGTTGCGTAATTTAATTGGGGACAGTTGTTGTTAATCCGAGTGGGGTTATAACACAATCAATGGGTTAACATCGCATCACATATACACATATTATGCTGCAACAGAGCAGTGGTGGCTGATGCTGCGACCGATCATTGTTATAATTAGTGATACGGACGTTGAACTCGTCGAAACAATAATACGAATCGCATATGATGGTCGCTCTCGTCTCGGTTTCGCCAAACGGAATTTGTGGAAACGCTTCCTGTGCGCATTGTGCAACGTATGGTTTATACGTGACATTATAATATATTATTATGTCTTAGTACATTTTGGTGGTGTTCGTTTTATTATTATATATAAACGAACGACACACTCGCTATAAACACATATTATAATATTATAGTTTGTAATAATTGCAAACTATATACTATAATAACATGTGTTTAACAAGTAATTATTACTATGATATGTGTATGTACAGTGAACATGTAAAGTATGTACACCTATATTATATTATATTAATTTTATAATTTTCGTTGACTTATATGTACGCTACACCGCCGACGATAGATCGCAGAAACCACATTGTGAATATTATTTTCTTTATATAATATTATTATGTATACCTGGCAGTTTTGACTTCATCGATTCCTCTCGTAGGTACCTACATATTATATTATATACCCGGTTACAGCTCACACCATACACACCGTTATTATGTTACATATTTTTCTACTTCGACACATTTTTTTCTCCGGCTTTACGTAAGTACAGCAATTATAATAACCACCGATTCGTAACAGTTTTTTTTTCGTCAATAATGAGGTTTCACAAAATCTGATTTTTGTAATTTTTAAATATACTCAATTAATGATGACCATAGTTTCAAAATCTTGAGATTTTATTGTGCTACGTAAGGCGAGTGTTCTGTGGAGTAAATAAGTACATCCCTTTTTTACTATAAATTATTTATAAAGAGTAATTTTTCTGAGTATTTTGCTGCATCAAAATCAAAATTTAACCAACACCTATACCTACTTAAGGAGTTATTTACTAGTTGTACTTAGGATAATAGGTCCATGATAATGTGCTCTGGGAGATATACGGGGTTATGATGATTTTAAAATAATTTACTGTAGTAATTGTTATATTAATCTATTAAAATGTTTAATAATTAGTAAAAATGGGCAAGTATAATAAATATCAGATCCAATATTACATCTACTATACCTCTGTGAACCCA